GGAAGTGGCTTTTTCAGACCGGAAGTTGACTTTTTTAAATGTAAGCTACCAATTTTGATTACAGAATCGGATTCTACGTTAAAAAATACATCACTTTTGTATAAAACATGTTTTGAAGAAACGAGTTTTCTACCTCCAATCCCCTATCAAAGTCAATAATTTTGGGTCATTCATCTGCCAAAGTTGCTTGAAACAATAATAGAGAAAAAATAATAATAAATATTACATAAAGACATATGATGAATAGAATCAGCTGTTTATTGTAAACACCTTAGTAATTGAGTAACAGCTGGTCTAAACATTGCTTAATATCACATTTTATAAAAAAATTATTTGTTTTTACATTAGAATGGTCAAATGTAAAAACAAATGATTTAAACAAAAATTAAATTAAGCAATGTGTAGACCAGCTGTTACTCAATTACTAAGGTGTTTACAATAAACAGCTGATTCTATTGATCATATGTCTTTATGTAATCTTTGTTATTTGTTTTTCTCTATTATTGTTTCCAGTAACTTTGACAGATGAATGACCCAAAATTATTGACTTTACAGTAATAGGGGATTAGAGGTAGAAAACTAGTTTTTTCAAAAAATGTTTTATACAAAAGTTATGTATTTTTCAACGTATAATCCGATTCTGTAATCAAAATTGGTAGCTTACATTTAAAAAAGTCAACTTCCGGTCTGAAAAAGCCACTTCCGGTGTGATTTTGGATTTGAAATTATCACCATTTGGTAGACCGTACCCAATTTAGCTAGTTTTTTATTATTTTTTGTTTGTAAGAAAATGTTTCCAACGTTTTGAAAGGGGTGTATGGTTGGTTTTGGACACCCGGTATATATGTGGTGTTTTTGGCCTCTAGGGACTTCAAAATTAAAAAGTAAATCGGTCCCGGGCTCAGGTCTTTCCATGAGTACTACGGCAATAGCTTATTCCCTATATGGGAAATTCGCTAAAACACAGATATAATATACATATATATATATATATATGTGCAAACTAATTATATCAGCTACTAAGTAAAAGCTCGCAAACACTTACATGATTTCGAGAAGGACGAGTTTTAAATCACGCAAGTGCATTCTGCATAGTAATTGTCTCACTATCAGAGCATATCCATGTAATTAACAAGCATTCCGCACTCGACAGAACCAACAGCTGTTTGTTAACCGATGGTAATTACCATTGACATTGACATTCAGTGAATATCGTACTGATTACCACCATTGCCACAAGTTTTGGCAGTTCTGATGGGGAATGCAAAACACAAAGATTCCACATTAACTCTCAGCATTAATAATGTTTGATTAACCATTTAAATGTAATAATTCATAGTTTATTTCTTGAAACATTTTCTGGAGAACTTTGATATCTGTGTATGTGTGTGTTGGGGGGGGGGGATTCAGACGTAGGCTAAAATATTTGTGAACAGTTACTTTTGTTCAAATTTAGGTGATGACATTAACATATAAATGCTATTTTTCAAACAGTACATGTATCACTTCCATGGAGGCCTAATTAAGGCCAAAAAGTATTTTTGTATATAGCTTCAAAAAACTGAATTTTGACATTCCCAACGCTTTATATTCATTACAGAATTTAAACTATGAAGTAGAACGATGATTTATTATAAAAGGGATTTCTCCAGTTCGGGTTTTGTACTTTACAAAAAAAATGTATCAATTGCATACGTTTTTGATATGACTTAACTTTTGTAGCCTTCTATTTCAAAGTTCAAAATTGTGTTACACGTTAAAATAATAACAAAAATATTCACACACATTTCGAAGTGAACACAATATTGGACGTACACAATGTAAAGAACTAGTATCTTATACATTTACTTTAATATGTAAAATATGGGGAGCGAGCTGGTCTAGTATTTAGAGCGCGGGACTTTGGTCCAAGAGGTCCCGGGTTCAAATCCCGCCAAATCACCAATGGATTTTATCTAAGTGATAATGCCGCAACCCCTAGGTCTAGCCTAAAGTAATGTGAAAAAATCCCAGTCTCGTGCCTACCGTCCTAGAACAAAAAAAAATAAGTAAAATATACCTCAAGACGTAAACTTATCAATTAAGCTAAACAATTTCCCTAACACCTAGTGAGGGGTTGAAGGAGTTTTTCTTCCCAGAGTCACAAATTGGCCGTGACTAAACTCATTCGCCCGCCAAGCCAGTTTAACGCAGATTGCCCCTATTTACCCTCCCCAAATTATAAAGGAACATTAGCTTTTACGTTCGCATTATCGACATTAGTTGATGCTTTCAAGCTCGGCTCGTTTCGTGAAATTGTCAGTGATAGCCAATGGTAGGTAATTTTAAGTCATTTATGCACAGAGGAAAAACTTTTATAACTGTACTCTCTAAAATTACCCACCTTAATTGGTTTCTATTCGATATAATAAAGTGTGCATTAGTGTTATGAATATGAATAATATAAGGGTACGTCTTGGATTAATCTTATAACCTAATGTGCAAGAGTAAAAGATTATTCTGTCCTCAAAATGTACGATGTACAAGAGAGATTCTAGAATCTAAAATTTATTTTTACAATACCCTATAGATTTGCAACATGTTTCTTGAAAACCTTTTTTCTCAGCTCTTGTGCATCGCAGGGAAAATCTACCCATACTGCTAGAAAGGTATTTTTCTGTAGTTGTGCAGAAAAAATAAGCACAAATAAAAAGAATTATTTACATGGGCCTTATAGGTTAACATGTTGGTGACGAAATAAAAACGAAATATAAACAGAAAATCAAAACAAATGGAAGAAATTCCAAGTACGTGTTTTATTTACAGCGTGGGTGAAAATAGAAAAGCTGTTCATTACATATTTTTGGTTGAGTTTTCGACCACTGGACGACATCTAGTATTGATTAATAACACATCTTTGTTTCTCTTTCTAAATGTTCACAACCTGGTTTGATTTAAAACTCAAAATTATTTGATTAAAGCGTTTGGATTGAAAATTTTCACAGTCAAAACTGACTAAGATGTCTTGGATGTTTATAAGTTGATTTTTTGTTAAACTGTAATTCAGTAAATATATGTCATAGTGTTTTGAAGACATTTATTTCGTTCATCTTCTCACATTTATACACACGACTTAAATGAATCAGTGCAGAACACAGCAACGTATGTTGTATGCATTGTGATTTCAACTAGATGTTTAAGGTTGACTAGAGCAACATGCTGTCAATACATTTGATGATAACAAACATATAGGAAGCTGCGTCACAATCAGGCTTGTCTGTTTGTTGCTGATTGTTCTCGACTATCAGCGCAAATATTACAGTGATCATCACGTTATCTGAGTTAATGATGAGTACCTACGTACCTACTAGCGATCAAGTTTTGGTTTAGTTATAGAATAATAATAAACTGTACCTAACGCTTTGGTTACAGTTTAGAAAGTCTGAAGCCAGTTTAGGTGTATACTTTACGCTCGGTAGCGCTGAGTTGTGCTGAAGCCGGTTGCATATATTTTAGGAGTGAATAAAGCAGCTGTAAATGTTTCGTTGGTTACAGGGAAGGATACCACGCAATCATGTTTTAGAAATCAAGCGGTTCAAAGAAAAAAATTATAAACAAATTTTCGATAATTGCACTCTAGTGGTACCGGATTACAAGAGTGGACAGTGGGTAAATTTTGTATACTTTAACATTGTAATACTGTTAATACTGTTCGATGAAATGGTGACCATACTTGTATATATAGGTAATTGTATATTTTACTACATCATCCATAAAATGTAAAATCCAATGTATGTCGTTTGTCGTTTAATTTTCCTTTATTCGTTACCAAACTTAGAATTGAAAAGTGTCCCATAACAGCATTGTTTACTTTCATAATAGCATAGTTTAACTCATAACAACACGGATAACGGATGAGGTTCAAGGATTGAAAGAGAAGAAGTTAAATTGAAAAGATTTGAACTGCAACTAATCAGCTGTTCATGCTAATTTAATTGTTGAGTGGTGCAATTAGTGTTTGGAACAATGTTTCGTTGCATCACTGTCAGTGGCAATGAGAGGTTATAAACGAAAACGTAACCTCTCTTAGAAGTTATAAGAAGTTATTTTTCGTAATTTAAACACCTTCGTAGGTAAAATAGTGTACGCAACTCACGTAAATAGTGTTAACGCAATCGTTGCGTAAACTACTATTACATTTGAACCAAGCAACCGTTGATAACCATAAAAACACGCCACCATTGTTGATTGCTCTGTGAGGACGGTTGAAAAAATAGGATGGTTATGTACATGAGGGTTGTAATTGTAAGAAGCGATTTGTTGGAGAATAGGCAAGAATACAATACAGTGCAACCTCTAAAAAAATAAAACTGACAAACGTAATGTCTTGCTGTTCCTTAAGCAAACAAAGGAAGAAAGAATAAAGGAGTAAATGCCACTTATAAGAATTGGGCTATAAGAGTTCGTTTTTATTATTTTCATACACAAGATTGCCAACTTATGTCTGGCTTAAGCAGGCCAAATGTGGGTTAATCACTCGGCTGGATACCAAGCAAAGAGACATTCAAATCTTGCCAAGTAGGGTGGTACTTGGTGCTTTCCTTTGATATCAAGTGTGGGTTTTCATAAATGTAAGCTGTTGACATAATACTTAGGCCTATATATTTTGTGAAATATCAATAGACATTATGTCTAATGTCACAATGGGTTGTCACCCATTGTGTATTAAAAATCTGGGTAACTGGAATATGAATATTTTAATTTTGCATTATTGTTAAAAGATTTTCACCAGACTTTCATGTCACGCTGTATATTATTAAATACAAATAATCCTTAATGAAATCCAAATAATGTAATATAAATATTTTTAAGTCAAGCATAAAAAAAATCAAGAAAGAGACGCTGCGAACAAAAATCTTGTGCCTGTATTTAGCGTACCATTATAATACTAAACAACTTATAAAATGTTATATGTATATAAAACATATATCTAGATACTGTAAAGTTATATACAAACTTACCCAAAGTGTTTGTATCAGCAAACGAGAATCTTGGAGCGTTGTGCTGCGGAGTGTGTAAAGAATCATGGTGGGATCCTGGAAAAAAGAAATCCATTTTACATATGTTAAACAACAAATGTATAATTTCGAGATATTTCAAATGAGATGCCTAAAGACCTTTAATTGACAATCAAGTGACAAGTATTATACGTTTAGCAAACATATTCTCTCGCATACCCTACATGCAACACATAAGTTAAAAGTCCTTCAAACTACGGTTAAACAATAAGAAATCCAAATACCCCCGCCACAGTAAACCTGCAGACTAAGCGAATTTCCTTTTACCCGGTATGATTTTTACTCAAATATTCCCTAAAAATTGTCAGATTTATTTAATATTTTAATAACATTAATTTTAGTGAGTGTTTAGGTTTGCTACGGGAAAGATATTGAGGTGGGTTTTTTTTATTGAAATGTTGATGGCTTAGTATTAATTAAACAAAATTGCCAAATTGTATTAAAATATATCGATAAACAAGCAAACTAGTACAGTTTATTTATTTTCCATAAAAATAACATAGGAATTTTAAATTTAAATTTTTTTATTATTTCCACAACCGTTAGCCATACAGAAACGCTCGTATATGCAAAATTATTTCTCTTTTTAAGCACTAAAAAATGGTTTGAAAGGAAATGATGAAATTTTGTGTAATTAGGTAAAAAATGGGGAAAACCAATTTTACCCTTTAAGCCCCTGTTCCCATAGCCCTGAATATGAATTTGAACGGAGGGTGTTTTTGGCCCATAGGGACCTCAAAACGAAAAAGTAAATCAATCCCGGGTTTATGTCTTCCCATGAGACCTACGGTAATAGCTTATACATGGGAAATTCACTAAAACGCGTAATGTAGTATATAGAGCTGTATTGTAGTTTTAAAAGGGCTAGAAAACAATGTAATGTGTAAAGCTTTGTGAAAAACGATACAGTAACCTATTTGGCTTGTGGTTCTTTCTCGCCTTTGAGAGGTTTAACACAACAATATCATACATCAGAAAGTGGCTGTCTTTATATTCCTTGGCAACCCAGATTTGCAAAAGTGAAGTTCTATTGTATATTCTTCCTTATCCCTCCTTTGCATACTAAAATAATGGAGAAAACTAAATGTCTAAACTCCAAAATCGATGTTTGATGAGAAAAGAGTAACTTGCTTGTTAATACGTCTGTCGTGTAGAAGCATATTTCATTTTGATATTTTTGCTTATCTTATTTAGGGCAAAGTTTGATTTGTTATTAATATAAACTAGAGGTCGTCCAGTGGTCGACAACTCAACCAAAAATATGTACAGGCTTCTCTATTTTCCCCCACGCTATAAATAAAACATGTGATTGTAATTTATTCCATTTGTTCTGATTTTCTGTTTATATTTTGTTGTTATTTCGTCACCATGGCAACCCATAAGGCCCATGCACATTGTTAGATTTATTAAAAATTAATTTTTCGTACTTGTTTTTGGATCTATTTCAATTTAAAAGGGATTCTGCACATCTACAGCAAAATATCTTTCTAACAGTGTGCATAGATTTTCCCTGCTATGCACACAAGCTGAGAAAAAAGGTTTTCAAGAAACATGCTTGCCTATTAATATACAGATACCTTGGTATGGTTTAGAGTTTTCTTTGTTTTTAGACCTTTTTCGTTGTTTTAGTAAATTTACTAATCACGTCATCTCATACCACAGTAATGTTGATTTCTCGTAAGTGCAGAATAAATAAGAATACACAGTTATCAAATTGCAAGTCATTATATTATTGGACAGTTGTAGATGTTATGATATAGCTCGGGGAAGACGTAATAAAAAAACACATACTGAACAAAAAACTAGTAGAAAACTTTTTTTGCTCTTACACAATATGAATGCTTTATTTTATGTGGAAATCATATTGAAAAATCTAGATAGTTGTTGAGAACCCTAATGGACTAAATTTCTAACAGTTCTTAGGAAACATTCCTCTTCAATTACATAACCTAGACTTAGTTTTATGCTATAAAGTCGTAATATTGTCACCTCGCTTGCCTACAGTTTTGCAATGACGTGACAGTGGTGCCATTCGCGTGCAACGAAGGGGAACATTTCACCGCCAGCGTTCTTTTTCTTCACTACATTGATCGAACTTCCGGGAATTACCTCCACATGAAGTTCTGTAGAGAAATTCTAACCTAAATTGATACTATCATATATGTCCTATCTATAAAATTTTTATTTATGATTTGAAAACGAACAATTGCTTTATTTTAGTATAAATCTGCTTATATTTCTTCTCCACTCTACCAAACAATTATTCTTATAGTTATACTTAAAATTCATAATTTAATTATATTTTAGACTGCATATCATTTTAAATTATGTAGTGTTGATGTAAAATTAATTAAAAATTAACGCATCACAGCGAATATGGCTGCTTTGATGAGAATATATTCAGATAGGTTTATGAGCTTTGTTCATTAGCTTTTTCATTTTAGGTCACCATCAATCATGGCTATGGAATATCATTAGTGGCATACGCTATAACCCCTTTTATGATTCAAACACATCATATTGAGATATTTTTACTTGTTTTTTTTTATTTAATGGTTTTTTAGCGAATTTCCGTACTAGCCGTAGGTGGTTGAGGCCCTCAAAACACAAAATTTCCCAATTTCACTCTAAAGCTTTTTTAAGAGCTTAAAAACAAATAATCTAGTATATCAAAGTGTTCTCGTACGATTATTGGTAACGGAGAAAATAAAAAAAGTACATTTAAAATTCCCATGCTTTCTTATTGTTGCAGTTTGCTTGTTTATGGATATATTTTGATAAAACCTGGCAAATTTATTTATTGTATACTAAGCTATTAATATTTTACCAAAAACGTCACTTTAATAGTTTCCTTGTAGCAGCAAACCTAGGTACTCTTGAAACCTAATGTTATTTAAATAGATTTAATATAAAATCAATTCAGACAAGTGGAAATTCGCTTAGTCAGCCGGTCTTGCTGTGGCGGGGGTATTTAGCTTACAATTAATGTTATGAAACACATTTTACCTGTCAAAAAGGAAATGTCATTTTACGCTTAAAAACCTAACAAATAAAAACATTGCAAACACCTGTAAAGTAAAAGAATATTTCTTCATTTAATCAAAAGCTTATCTGTTAGCTTATTGTCTTGATTGAGATGGTAAAGTTACAAGTAAATAGAACCATGCAACAATTTAATCAAAGTCCTCCTAAGGGGCGACAAGAATAGCCCAAGCTGTCTAGAGGGTCGTGAGTTGTGGTTACGGCTAAGACAAGACAGAAATAGCCGCACCCTGTAGAGACATAGAGGGCTGTTGATTAAAAACACTACAAAACAACACTTTATCATTGTGGGACCAACAGTTAGTAACACAAAAAATATATTGTTGTATTACTATAATAATTTCCGTCCTGTACCTAAAGCAGATATTTTTAATACTTTTTCATACCTTAGGTCATGAAACACAAATATTTACGTTCCAGAGAGTTTACAAAGGTTTTTTTTACAGGAAATCCTAGTAGAACAAATTGATACTGAGAAATCAAACTATTATGTTTATGCGTGTGTATCATGTAAAAAAATTTCAAAAGATTATTGCGTCAATCACTGAAATTGAAGCAAAATTTGTAAAATCTGTAATTCACATAAAAAATATATAAATGAGTGGTCTTGTAAAAGGTTTAGAGCATGAAATAATTCCTTAGTTTTTCTCAATAAGGTTTTATACAAGTTTTAAATTTGTCTTATTGTAAAGCTGGGATTTAATAACTTATGAGAAATAAACTATGGTAAAATTAATTAATATGGTTATGTACTTTTAGCGAATTTCCCTATAGGGAAGTAGCTATTACCGTAGGTGGCACGGTAAGACCTAGACCCGGGACCGATTTACTCTTTCATTTTGATGTCCCCAGAGGCCAAAAACACCATTCGTTCAAATTTTTATATATGTATATATATATATATATATTTATATATATATATATACGTCCGTGAACGCGATAACTTGAGTACCTAATAATAATAATAATTTAATAATAATTTTAATAATAATAATGGTAATTTTTGTCCGATTTTGATGAAATTTGGTTTAAAGGTATAAAGCGGGATAAACTTGAATGAGTTCGCGAACCAGCATGATCGGACCATGGGAACGGGGCTTTACGGGGGGTAAAATTTTGTTTTTCTCACTTTTGACCCTCAAAACACAAAATTTCCCAATTTCTCTCTTTAGACCTTTTTAAAGAGCTTAAAAAACAAATAATTTAGTATATAAAAGTATTTTTGTTCGGTTATTAGTAACGGAGAAAATTAAAAAAATTGTAAATTTAAAATTCCCATGTTATTCTTATGGAGAATACAGTATTGTCAAATGTTGTTGCTTAATTATGGATATATTTTGATCAAACTTGGCAAATTTATTTATTTTGTACTAAGCTATCAATATTTTACTCAAAAACACACTTTATTAGTTTCCTTGTAGCAGCAAACCTAGGTACTCGTTAAACCTAATGTTATTAAAATATATTTAACTGAAAATCAATTCAGACAAATGGAAATTCGCTTAGTCGGCAGGTTTGCTGCGGCGGGGGTATTTTACTTTTACTTTGAAATGGGGACCTTAGTCTTGCTAGTGACTTAAGGCCGATATATTCCTTAGACACAGCTGTTAATTAATAGCCTATACAGCCAATGGCAGCTAAGGGATACATAAAAATCCCCTTTCTAATAAAATCGTTTTCTAATGAAGTTTATAGTGGAAACTGAATCACATTTCTTCCTTGGTATTGACAAATTGGTCTAATTATCAGGATAGAACTGCGGATAGTTGTAGTAGGCCTACTCACTAGTGCGGACGTAAATCCACACCAGGGAGTATCGTATCCACAGTGAACGCCTATAAATATCCACAATTCGTGACCTCCTAGCAGCTGGGTTACAGGACGACGCCACCGTCCCAGTCAACCAATTTTTTTTACCAAATACTTAACCGAGATTAAACATATCTTTTAGAAATGAGAATAGAGTGAAAATGAGA